TCTGGAGGAATTTTAGCGACCGGCTGCTCAGATCGATAATCGTCCGTGTTTACTCAGGTCAATATCAAGTGAGTGCCGGAGCAGTACTTTATCAAACGGGCCACAGGCCGTGCGTGATTGTTTCTTTTAATATTTCCCGCTCCCCTTACACGCACACTTGCACTACACTACCACACATATCGGGAGACCAGTACGGAGCTCTTGCTTGACCCGCCTGGGGCGATGTCCTAGTGGAAATGCCTAGTGAGGAAAACCCCGTAGCCCGTCGCCAAATGCAAAAGAATTCAGTAACCCAAGAGCAATATTGACAAAATAATGTCAAAACGCAATAAGAGAATAGAAACTTCTCTCAATATTTACGATAGATAAACTACCAAAATTGTAAGGAACCTCGCGTACAAAAATTGGAAAATTTCAGGTATCCGGATTGAGAGTTTATCTAGGAAAACAGATTTGATGTGTAAAATGTCAGGGTTTGTTATAAAATGTTTCATTGTAAATAACGTTTTGTGTATTTCGGAATGTTTCTTTATATTTAGGAGGCAGGTTTTGATGACCTAAAACAACACCTAGAATGATTATTAAAATGCTCTTAAAATGTTTTTAAAATGTCCTATAAGCAAAGTCAAATGACGTAACACATTTGATCAAAACCAGCTCAAATGAACTACTCAAGCTGTTTAATACGTTGTAATAATGGCTTCTTCCTTTCGTTCAAGTGAACTTCGCTCACAAATTTTTGGTTTGGACTGGACCAGGAAACCTCTGTCTTTAGTTTTCGTGAAATCCGCCGAACTGACAATGGTGATGATAGGTGTTACAGGAACCTTAGATAAAACAAGTGGCATTACAGTTTCTGTGTAAAGAAATCGAATACTTAGAAATTGTGTCAAGAACTTTTGTTGTATCTCATAAAAATTATTTTGAAAAATCATTAAAATGATATTAAAATCGATGAAATCCGCGTACAAAATTCATCAAAAATGACGAAAAAGGTGAACAGGACTTATTAGTCGAATTTGTTGAAGAAAATGCAAAAAAACGCATAAAATGGGTAAATTTCCTTTGTCATAACATGTAATGAATATACATACTAAAAGGCATTGTTCTAATGTGAAATGAAAAAGTGACAGTTCGTAAACAGGTTACAGTTATGAGGTTTGTCTATAGTTTGTGAGACACTCAGCATTTATAGTATTTCAGTTAGTATTTGAAACAGTGCGCTGAAATATAGAGTTGAAACACATACTACTTCAGAAATGTTATACATAATTTAAAACTTTACTCTCCCATTACAGTATAGTATCCTGAATTTACAATATAGGAAGTGTGGGCTACGAAACATCTCAAACAATTTTAGGCTCCTGCTTCTCCAGGCGCGTAGTAACTCACTGCGATAGTAGTGTCGCCGATTATGTCGTGAGCTCGTAGATTCGATCCCCTAGTATTTCCTTAATTTGTTTTACTCAGTAATAATGAGCAAGTGCAATTCTTTTAATACTATACTGTTCATTGCATGTCGAATCTTTATTCTGGATTATTTATATAGCCCTTGGAGGGGCCGCTTTCTCTCTTCAATGACAGGGCCAAAAGTCAACGTTCTCTATCACAGCTTGCAATTGGCGATTCTCTTGTATGGTCAATTTTCTGCCATTACACGCTTCGTCTCGGTCCACGTATTTTCAATTGTATTCACGTCAGCGCCATGAGGAAGCCAGTCCAGAACCTGTACTTCCTACTGTGCAAGCCATTCCTGAACCTTTTTTCCTTTCTGAAATGACGAGTTGTCATGTTGAAAATTCACTTCTCAATCTGGATACATTTGTCGCACCGACGGAACCATAATATCTCGCAAGATATGGAGATTGCCGTCGAGGGGTATTAGGTGCCGTCGAGGAGACCTATTCTATGGAAAACTCACATGCCACGTGCATAAATCCATCCCCAACACACCACAGATACTCGTCCTGAACGCGTACATTGATGTACATATTCCGGATAATGACTGGTCTCCCGAGGTATGTACACTCGTATTGTACCGTCATTTCCAGAGGAAAAACCATCTCGGAGAAAATTACATTTACCCAGTCACGATGAAGGGTGTCCTCGGCAAATGCCAACCTGTAGAGTCTGCGGTCTTCGGTGGGCCTTCTTAACCGCTGCCCTGCAGGACCGAAGTCCCATGCCCCTTAAGGGGTTCCTAACAGTTCTAGAGGAACCAGGAAAGTTTCGACTGAACCGAACTGAAGAATGGTGTCTCCCTCGTCTGGATTACCAATAAGGCGTCCAGAGTTTCGGTAGATACACGCCACAATCCACTGCCAGCACGAATTCCCACTTGCCCTATTTCTCAATACTGCCGCAACCACCTATGTGCAGTAACCGTCGTCTGGCCTCCGAAGCAGAGATATTCGCACTTTCAATCAACGCTATGTCTCGCTCTCGACCGAAAGTAATGCGACATGGTGTAACAATGCAAGCTAGTGGCTAGGCGCGGCAAGCCGTGGCGCTGTGAGGGAGGGGAAACGCAAGAGGGACGGTTTTCCTCTTAAAGGGAATGGTAAATAAATGGAGATATTTTCTGAAGTTAACTATTCATTCCACGCACATTAGTGCAGTGTAACGATTATGGATAGTGTTCTGAAATAACATAGTGTAATGTTTGAACTGAAGTGCTAGCAGTGCTTTTTTTCGAAATTTTGATTGATTGGTTGCTATTGGCATTTGCTATTGCTATTGGCAGCAAGCTTTATAATACATTCTAGTTTTTTGATATTATAATTGTTTGGTGATGGAATCCTCGGGATAACGTTCGTCAAAATGAATAACTGTTAATTTTAACTTACGTTTATTGAACAAAATAACTTCCTTTACCCTGTGATAAGTTAAAGCCCTTATGAATCAAAGTCCCAACAAAAAAAGTACGTTTTAATCCATTTATCGAGTACTTCATAATAAGTGAAGCTGAATTCTAATGATATCTTCTGAAATGTTTTGTTATTTCGAAAACAAGAAACTCGTCAGATGATCACAAGCGACAATGTCGTAGAATATTCATATTTTCCCGCGTCCCAGACAATATTCCATGTCTGTTTTCCAACTCCCAATTTACCATTAGAGAAAGCGTTCCTCCCCGTCTCCGTTCAGATAGATTTTTCCCAATGGCATTATGTTCTATTTACCCTGTTATTAGGAAAATGTATATTTGCAAACAAAAAAAATTCAAAATTGAATCAACTTCATGAGAAACTTCAATAACATATTTTAATAGTCTTTCTATTTTTAATTTATTTATTTAGCTTGCATTAATTTAATTAATCTTATCATTCACAATTACCTTTGTAATTACTGGGTAATTACATGAATTAAATCACATTGCTCAGGCTATATTAGTATTTTTTGATTTTGGGGATTACTAAATGAAAAAAATATTTGACGCATTTGTAGTGAACTAATTCAACTTTTCTTTGAATACTTTAAATTAGAAAATAGTCATAAATCTTGCAAGTAGACATTTTTTAAAATTCTTTTCTTATGATAAAATAATGTTCAAACAGAAAATGTATATTCGCAAACAAAAAATTGAGTAAATCAATTCAAAATATGATAATAAAAGTTAACATTTTTATGTCCTTATTTTTTATTATTGAATATGCTAGATTTCAAAAATATATTTTCAATGTAATGGTTTTTTAAACATCAACAAGATTTTTAAGGTTTTGAAAATGCTATAAAAAATTTAAGTCATATTTACGGCCATATTTTCATATCTTTTAGGTCATAAATGCTTGCATATTCCTAACATATTTAGGTCATAAACATCCGGGCCCTAGTCATGATTATGGATGCTCTGTATTATAAAGAAAACATAAGCGGGTCAATGAAGCAAACGTTCTCTTAATAAGGGTCAATAGAAGAAAAAGTTTAGGAATCCCTGGACTAAAGTTTTCTTTGCAGTGTTGTTGCAGTTTGCATGTGTGTGACCAAACTCTAATAGTGAAATATTGAAAAAAATCTCACCAAAATGAATATGAACATAGTATACATATTTTTGCAATAAAAAAATTAATGCCGAATTAATGTTGTACATTGTACATATTTATGAACCTATAAACAATTGTTGAAAAACATACTAGAGAACCTTCACGTTTAATAAAGGGTTTCTATATTGGGATAATTAAAGTTCCAGATGCATATCAAAATGATACCATTTAAATGACACCAATTATGCCATTTCAATTGAAATTTACAATGAAAACAAGAAAATGAACAAAATAATTATCGTATCAAATGCAAATTTCTCTGGATTAGCAAACATTAAATTTATGACAATATTAAACTTGAGAGTTTTATAAAATAAGTAACGAGTCTAATTTTGAATTGTTTAGTAACTCTATATGTTTTCTCTGATTCGTGTTTACTACTCATTAATTATTTGTCTTCCATTAAATTCTTCTGACAATTGCAGATGATTCTAAATTATTCAAAAAAGTAGTAATTTTAAATAAAAATATCTGATTTCTCTCAGAATTTTCTCAAGGTTAAATTTTTTTGAGATGGAAAAGGTAATTTTTTATCATTTTATTTTTATTCAGATGCCTGGGATTTAATTGATGATAAAAATGTGATATTGGAATAATTTACAATATATTAGTTGTAAATCACTATGATTCGCATTCAAATTCAGAATATTGTCACCCGAATCATGTAGGCTATTTGTACAACATACTCTATATAACACAGAATAGGCATGTAAATGTTTGCCCAAAACAATCAAGAAGCTAAGAAATCTTAAATTGCCCTTATTGTGTCCTTTCTGTTACATTCTTAAAAGCAAGTTTTTTTCAATATTTATTTGAATAGTCTACATTTTCAAGTTTTAAGTTAAGACAGTTATAGGTAAAATATTTGACCAATAACGTATTTTCGGAAACGTATTCAAATAATTAATTCAAAGTTCTTCGTATGGTTGAGTCAAAATAAAATTCATTTATACTTACGTTTATACACTCCTTATGCATGTGACCCAAAATAGGAAGCCCCATGGCTTTTAAAACTCTTGGAGATGAGTTGGTTGGTCCTGGCCCCATCAGTAATTTTTGTGGTACAAACAATGGTCGTGACAATGAATTCGGAGGTTTCAGAGTAATATCCATTATTGTTACAAAAAATAAGCTCTTGTGAATGTTCGCTAATAACGGCAACTTAATGAACTGCTACTGCCTCGTTAATTCACGTCGCTATCGAAAGGTCCTCCATTGACCTTTGAACGAAGTTCAAGATTCGAGAAGCAGGTTATCAGTAAAGCTCATAAAACTTGCAAATGTGCAGTGATTTTGTTTGAAACTTGTTCCGCCGGTTTCCAACAAACGTTACAGGTTATTGGGTGTCAATAAAAGAATAGTTGAAACACTCCAAAGATATTCAAAGAATGTTGGTTTAATGGGCAATGACAGAAAGGTGAACGATCCAGTAAAAGTTCCAAGTCTCTTTTCAAGAATTGCTGTTATTCTCAAGAAGAATCTGAAGCTACAAAATTCAATATCGGACATTTAGCAATAAATTTTCAACATGATGTTTATTTCCGAAACTTCTTCCAATGAATTCTTCAGATTAGTCGGTAAACTAAATAAATATATTTGGTTGATTTAGATGGTTTTTCTGGATAATTTATTGAAGACTTGTTTGCCTGCCCTTATACACCCATTAACTTCGGCGTCGTTAGCCGCATAGTTCAACTATGTGAACCGTAAAGCAACCTACTACGCAAACTGGGTGTTTCAGTTCTTCATTTCTTACAACCTTCGCCATGTTAAGATTGATATTCAATTCAAAATATTTCCGCTTCTCATTTGTGTATTGTGTGAATTGAAATTGCTTCCTTATATCCATATGTTCTTTGCAGAGCGTTTTATCTTGGCCATAAGCCGCCATCCTGAGTTTATTCTATCGCTGAAGGCGCATGCCGGGACTACAACAATCGGTTAACACAAAACCAAATATGCCACTATTTATTTAACCACTAATTATTTAACCACAAAATTAATTTTCTCTTCAATTTTTGGGGGTAATTAATGGTGGGCTAGCTTCAGATTAAGCTGTCACACCACAATCGGTTTCCACAAAACAAATATGCCATATTCTAGAACGATTTAATTGCTAATTAATTAAGCAAACATTAATTAAATTGCTCTTCAAACTTCCGAATGGTGAGCTGCGGGTTGCGCCAGACTGCCCGGTCGCAGGGGAAATGGCTGGGGACGGCATACATAAATGAAATACTCGGACTGGTCGAGAGCTGGCTTCGGTATTGTATTTTCTTCGATCAACATACCAAAATAGTCTAAAGAAAATTGAGTCAATACTGTTTTGTGTTCACAAACGTCTTGAATAAACTCCATTTATGATTACTGAATTACCATGTGTCCTAGCTACGGTAAGTCGGTAAACCATTGATTATATGGTAGTTATACGTTAGACATCTGTGGTATCGTGTTACAAGTTTTTTTAATTGAAATTGTGTTGTTTGAATCGTATGGGGTTTTATCACAAAATATCACCAATAAGCCATTAACCTTATTATAGGCTTATAACAGCAAGTATTGTTCACTTGACTAAGTGTTCATTTACGGTGTCAAAATTACTTGTAACTCAAGATTTGATATTGGACATTCCTTGTATTCGCCGTTTTTCTTACAGCATTAAAATACTTTCTCTACACTGCGTAAGCAGTAGCGAGAAAGTAAAGTTTCATGAAAACTTCATGAATTTTGGCATTTTCATGGCCCACATTTTTCCCTTCTCGGGAAATTCTGTCATATGTATCAATTGTTTGGTTTTACTTTTGTAGTCCAGATAGACATATTATTTGAACATTCTAATAGCTCATCATACCCTGCCTTAAAACTTTGGTTGAAGCAATGCCTCACGTATCCTTCTCGACTTCCATGTTACCAAATATGTGATAAAACGTGGACGTCTCAGACAACGCTTTATCACAGAATTTTATAAAATAAATCTTTTATAAAATATGAGCTATTACACTGTCATACGCGCGCGCGCGCGCGCGCGCGCACACACACACACACACACACACACACACACACACACACACACACACACACACACACTACCTTTATGCTATGACTAATGTGCCGTTCCCGTTTAAGCATTTCAATGATAGTATTGAAACCATGACTTAATATGTAATGTCAAGTGCTATTGCTACGCAGTGGAATAAGGAACTACATTTTTGCTTGGTTGAATGGTTATTGACAAGCAAACTTTCAGTTGTGGATAATAATTTATAAATTATCTATTATTAATGTGGAAATAAATTTTGTTATGTTCATCTAATTATTTTATTGCAATTTCATGAGTAATGTATTTGCAATGCATAAAAGCTCAATATGGTTAAACATAACACGACTGTCAGTAACAGTCATTTTTGATATCTCAAAGCAGTTTTTCATTCCCTTCAGTGGTTTGTAATCCCAAATGGATTTTTGATCACTTTAATATTGATAGATGGAAGACATTTTTATTTATTGTTCAGATTTCATGAAAGTAAATTCATGCATGTCGTGAATTTGTGATTTTTGTTCTAAAATACACATATGTCAAATTTTATGATTTAGAGAATTTTTATTTATTATCTTAAAACATGCACCATTCTTTTTCTGATTTAATATTAATCAATCTGTCATTTATTTTATTGGGTCATCCTGAGTCATCTCCATGTCAGGATATCCTACATTTCCGACAGAATCTTACAATAAATGGTAAATTACGCCCAAAGGACTTGTATATTAAAAAATACTGCTCATGTAATTAGATGTCAGCAATTGCTGGAGTTATCTAATTTAACTCCAGCAATTGCTAGAGTTTTCTTACGTCATAACCCCTACCACCACTCAGTTTATTATCAGAGCCGCTCGTTTGAGTGCAGCACTAACGCTAGTCGCGGGAATTAACACGGTGTTTGCTAGCCCTGGGAGTAACTCATTCATGTCCACCATCAGGGCCCTATAACTCCCATATAACGTGGTGGAGACCATTACGGTGGCGCGCTCTGCTGCATCACCTTCTTTACATGAACTAAAACAGGAACTACTGCCAACGATACTTTAAACGTGCGTGACTGCTGCGTGAGTTCGCGGGTCGCAAGCAGGCCCGTAATGTTACAAAAGATAACGTCTACGTTCGCGCTTTCTTCAGAGGTTTCTTATAAGTATATATTATGAATAATTGTACATTTAGAAGAGACTTTTCGTATTTCTCACAAATTAGCCAATTTGTAAGTGAGGAAGTTGGCGATCCTAACCTGCAGCTGCACCCGGCGACACTAGCGCTTCCTATAGTAGCAACCTCGAGCTTTGTCCCCGATTTTGATGGAGAGTTGCCGGGCCCTGTCCACCATACCCACCATGTTTCCACCATACCCTCGTGTCGCTCCGCGGTCATGCGACGTCTAGCCACTTGCAAGCCAACTACTTGGATAACTCATAATACGACCGACCAATAACACGGAAGTGGAAACCCACTAGAAAGAAGGGTGGATGGAGGAGACAGAGTGTGGGTGGAGGTGAATACCGATGAATACGGGTGTGGGTGCTAATTGAAGATTGCAGTGGGTCCTTTCTGTAGTGTTATTGAAAATGCATTCAATTAATTCTGATGGCACATGTGGAGATATTTGGTTTTTACTGTGGGATGGTTCGTGTTGTCATGTTGGTTTGTAAACTTTCAAACTGGGATATCATTATCCCGTTTTTACTGTTCGGTGTATGAATAAATATGGCTTCAAGATCGCTTGAGAGTAGGTGGGTTCGTAGATACCGAGTGTTTTTCGTATTAAGCAGTGCGATATTGAGCGTTCAAGTCTTCCTTGCATATAAATTCTTTCCTGTTGATATTGATGGCGGAGAAAAAGTGCAAGAACAAAGAGAAATGTTTAGAAAACCCTACAGTGAGGTTAGTTGGTCTACTGTTTTGGGCTAGTTGACTTAAATGTTAATGTATCATATTCTGAAATAATCTGTTGTTTTTCTCAATGAATGGTTTGTTTCTTAAAGTTATTCTGAATATTCCTCTTAATTACAGGCAGCTGATAATTTGAACGGTGTTATCTTGTCTCAAAAGGCAAAAGAAAATTATGTTACTGATGATGAAGATGGTCAAAGCAATAGTAATCTTGTGAATGGCTTGTATAACAAACCTAAAGTTCCGCCTGATAAACTGCTTTCCATAAGAAGTGATGCTGTTGTTTCGAATAAAGTGCCTCCTCCAGTTAATTTGAAAAACAGTGGATCATTTGTGGTAAACAGATCTATTTTACGACTAGAAGAACTAGATTTTGTGCCTCAATGTGATATTGTTACCAAAGAAGCAATATCAGCCATTCACAGAGCCAAAACTCAGCAATGCAAACAGGAAATTGTGAACATTACGTGCCTTATTCAGCAAGGGTTGCTGTATCCACATTACCTTCCTAATACATGTCCCTCATTGGGTAAGTCTTGTCAGTCAAGTTAATAGTTGACATTTATATAAAATATACTCAATGGCACGTGCAAGGGGAAGGGGCCTCATTAGCACTTCACAGAAGCCGAAAACATATTTTCACATAGTTGTCACCAAGTCTGTCACAGGGGTCTTCTGTCCTTAATTCAACCTATCTTAGTAAGAACTTTTACTCTGTGACCATAAAATTTTCTGTAGTATGAAAAAGTGTGCAGTATTAGGTTTAATATCTTATAAATAACTGAAATATTTTTAAATTCAGTCTAACTGATTAATTCTAACTAATAAATTCTATCAAGTCAGCTGGATGCTTCACATAAGGCTCCACCTTTCAAAAACACTAGTTGTGCTACTGTGTATACTGGTAATTTAATTATTTGTTTCAATACATTATTGTTATTAATACTTTGTCGACTAAGTGTTTTAGAATATAATACGTAAAACCCAGTAAAAAGATTTTTTTCTAGTGTGATAGAATGCAAAATATCATTTTTTGTAAACATTTCAAGAAAGCATTATTATGAAATTATGTTAAGGACTCAACGACATTATTGATAAAAGGTTTTAATTATGGACCATTAAGTTATAATTGGGAACAGGCACCTTAAGTAAAATTAAAACACATAAACTTGGGTTATTTCCCTCTTTGGCCTTGAACTAAAATGTTTCGGAGATCATTGCGTCTCCATCTTCAGGTACTTTTTTGGCTAAAGATTAGACTTAAAATACATAAATATTTTAAAACATGAATAAATGACTAATCACTCTGGAAACAGGAAAACATTGTGGAAGCAGAAAGCAAAGTTTAGTTATTTCACTCGAAGAAACTTATCTTTCATAAATATAATTCGTAATTATTGTCAGATATGGATATAAGCCATAATATTTCCATGGAATAATTCTAGGATTAATTCAATCAAAATCTTAGTCATTGTGAACCATATTGTAAAATATAACATATAAATAATATAAGCATATAGTTTGTTAAAAACTTTGACTTAGTAAAAAACATGGTTTGCACCTCGGAGTTGGTTGTGTAGAGTATACTGCAAGGTTATGTTCTTTCACTCGAAGAAGCAGGTGAATGGAAGGGAGAGATGGGGAAGGGTTAAGATGAACAAAGGGAGGATGGAGTCAATGATGACAGGGAGAGGGGTAATGGGGTTGAGGTTGAAAGACAGAAGAAGAATTCATTTGAGATATTGTTTGATTCTGTATAATATTAACAAATTGGCATAATATGAATGTGTGAAAACAAGCACTGTATAAGTGACACTTTACAAAATCTGAGAAAAACATGTCTATTGTAGGCTATATTTCAGTGGCGATGAATTGTCATGGTTTTAATGAACAATTGAAATGCCACGGTTTTAATGATGAACAAAGAATGACCTTTAATTGATTTTGACTTAAATAAACAGGTTTCTCTGAATTTGTGAATCATCACTTATACCATTCTGGTTTTCACCCAGTCATGTCATATAATATATACATGATATTAACATATATCATATGCATTGGTGAAGTTGTTGCATTCTATTATCGAATTCATGGTTTTGTTTAATTTAATACATAACATTTCAGTTACTATTCTTGGGAATCTTCTGGTTTCATTATCAAGAATGTTAACATTAACAAAATCCAATTTGTGACCAGTGTTTATTCTGTGGGTTGTTGCAGAGTTCTACCTCTTAGAAGGTTCCCTGATGTTCCTTTCATGCTCCTTGATTGTAGTTTCTAATTTCCTTTTAGACTGACCAATGTTGTACTTCTCGCAATTTTGGCAAGTTATCTTTTACGCTGTATTCTTTCTTTCCTTGTTGTCTGTAATGCGCACTAGCATGCATGTTTGTGTTGCAATCTCTGTTTAAAACTAATTTTTTCACTTTTGTATTTAAGTGTTCATAAATTGATTTAAAAAGATTTTTATACTGTTTTATGTGATAATTTATATCCACAGTACATACATTATTTATTGCATTTATATCCACAGATTTCACATAAACATTCACAGTTTGGTTTGTGATATACTTTGTTGTTGTTCAGGAAGTGATGGTATCTGTATACTGCCAATCATCTGCTGCAAAAATCTGGCCAGATCTTTTCTTTTTTGTTTTAGTTTAAAGAGGAGCCTTTCATAAGCATCAGTAGTTGGTAGCAGGCAATATAAACCCAAGTTCTATATTAGGAGAGTTGGCTTTGCCAGGACATATACTAGGTGTGATCTGTTAGTTTTTGCCAGGCCTAGTGCTTTTTTCAAATATGTGGTTTTTACCTTCTCTAGAAATGTGAAGTTGGCTTCTGATAAGTGAGGCCAAGTAAGTTCTGTGCCATATGCCTAAATTGGTACTATTTTTGCTTTAAATAGTTTCAAGGATGTATCCAGTGATAATTTTCAGATATTTTTTATGTTGTTGGTTGCCCTCGTAGCTTGTGCTGATTTTTGTTGTACATGCTTTGTAAAGCATGTACTATTTGCTTGTAGAGTAATTCCTAAATATTTGAAGTCTGAGACTATTTAAATTTTGCTCTTGCTTATGTGGATCTTTTGTGTGCTTGATGTCTTTCCTCCTCTTCTGAAGATCATCATCTCTGTTTTTCTTGCGTTAATTTGAAAATGCACCATTCCACGATGAGGTCCAGGGTTTTCTGTAGGCTCTCCAGGTGTGTTGCGCTCATGATCGGGTCCTCTGTGTACACGTATGAGGACCAAATACTACTACAAGGTTTAGTTCTTTCACTTGAAGAAGCAGGTGAATGGTGAACTCCAAGTCTTGTGTCTTCTGCGATTTTTAGTATGTCTGCTGCTGCTGTTAGATTGAAAAGCAGAGGGCTAATTGGGTCTCCCTGTAGTACACTGTTTGTTTGTAGTATGTAATCTTAGCATGATAAGATTGTCTGTAACTTGCACGTAGTTGTAAGTCAGAATTTCTTCATTGAGATGTTTCCAAGTGCAGTTTTCTTCTAGAGTTTGTTAGCTGGGTTTCTAGCCACCCTCTGTCCATATAGTCGAATGTCTCAGTAAAGTCATTGAAGACAGCATATACAAGCTTTTTCTCTCGGTCCTTCAGTTGTTCTATGTCCTTCAGTAGAAGTGCGACTGCAGTTAGGGTCGACCTGCTATTTCTGAAACCAGATGGAGCTTCTGATAAGATTGTGTCAATTTTTCTCTTTATACGTTGAAGGATTAATTTTGACGGCAAAAGCCTGCATTCCATTGCAATACCTCTGTACGTATTCGGGTCTTTTGGGTTTTGGCACATGTTTTCTTTGGGTTACCTTTCCCTTTGTACAGTGTCCTGATTAGAGTTCAGGAGTTTTGTCCACAGAGGGTGCAGTTTTGATGCTGTATCTTGGATGGGCTCGTTAAGAATGTCTGAACCTATCACTTTTTTTCTCTTTATCTTCTTGATTTCTCTCTTCACTTCTGTGTCCGAGAAGGGTGACCATGTTCTTGTTTCTTTGTTCTGTCACGCATTTCATGGTGGGCTTTCATCTTGTTCATTCAAAAGTTTGGTTAAAAAAATGGACATCCCAGTCCCTCATTGCAATGTAGTGGTTATGAGGCAATCTTCTGGGCTGTAATGCGATAAATGGGTCTTTTTTCTGCATCTTGTACTGTCCTCTCGCCTTCCTTCTGCCAAAAGCACTTTTTCTTTTCTATTATTAGTCTCTATTGTTGTCTCTGTCCAATTGCGTATTCTTCAAGTTTTCATTTGTCCTCAGGGTCCTGTTTCACATTATGCAGATACTGGTAAAGGTGGAGCATCTGTCGCTATTGATCGCGATGTATATGTATTGAAAATTATAGCTCAGTTCATTGATCCCTTTAATTGTGCTGAAATTTCCAAATCCAAAATTAACAATTTTATTAAAGAACTGAAAGAAATTGTTAAAAAGATAGAAAAAATATTAATGTACAGACATTAACCCCTATTGTTAAATATATTCCACAGGCAAACTTACTAGAGCTTACAGACTTTTCAAAATTTACGAACCTGAACTACCGATGAGGCCAGTGGTTTCTAGTTTTGGGACGCTTCAGTTCAAGATTTGTAAATATTTGAAGCAAATTCTAAAGACCCTACTCAAACAAGATTCACAAAATGTTGTTCATAATGTCCAGAATTAGCGAATCAAAAGAAAGAAATTACAAGACAGACAAGCACATTTTGGCTTCCTTGAGGTTATTGGAATGTTTCCTAACATTTCACATTGTCACAATATAGAGTTTGAATGAAGCTCTTGAATAGACCTATAATGATTCGATCTCTATTCTTGAAAATTAAATTATTAGTTTGGTCAGATGTTTTTTTAGCAAATATTGAGTACACCTTTGACAATCTAATGTTCCATCAAATAGAAGGAACCCTCTTGGGGGCTCCCTTAGTTCCTTATTTTCTGAGCTAGTTATGAGAAGGTTGGAAAGAACAATTTTACCCCAAGCATATATTTTTATGAACAATATGTGGTTAATGTATTCCTTATAATACATAGAGAAAAACTTCATGAGATAGTAGGAATATTGAACAACTATGAACCAAAAATATAATTTATGTTTGAAATAGATAATAATAGTAGTTAGAACTATTTGGATCTAAAAATTACAAGAAATAACAATCTAATAAAAATAGATTGGCACCAAAAGCCTATCACCATTGGCCGCGCATTAAATTATAAATCCAGACATCCAACTTCGATAAAAATTGCTGTAATCAATGGGATGGTAGATAGAATGGTACATGTATCACAAAAGGAAAACTACAAATATAATTTAAATAAAATCGAGAATCACTATAGAGCCAATGATTATCCTTAGAAGTTCATTAGGAAGTGTTGGGGTAAACGGATCATGTTCCGCAAAAATCTAAGTATTCAAATTAGAATGAGGAATGAGGAAATAGCTGTAAATAGCGTAGCAAATACTCAGACTTCTAATGTAATTGTACTCAACGTTCCTGAGATTAGTAATCGGTTTCAAAAGTTGTA